GCCGAGGCTCCTTTCCTCCTGCTACTCTCTCCTCCTCTTGGTTCTGGAACAATTAGTATCGTCATCTCCCCAGCGTCGCTGGTCCCCTGACACCTCACTCCATGGCTTTCCTTTCTGCATCAGCTCAGCAGCATCTCTCCTCAGTGCCTGCAGCTCTTGGGTTCCCTGTTCTAGTTCCCGAGATAGAATCTGATTGACCCAGCTTACCGCATCCTAGCTCAGCCTCCTGTCAGTTCTGACTGTTGGGGCCAGTCACATGGTTTACACCTGACCCTGGAGGCAGAGGCAGTTTCACTTGGAGGGGACTGTGATGAGCCAAACTCCACGGTTCTGCACCCCTGGTCCAGGGGCACCCAGAGGAGAGGGTGATCTGGCACCACCCTGGGGTCCCTCCAGAGCTGCTGGGAGCCTGGGTCTGGTCCCAGGGGAGCTTTACTGCCTAGAATTAGAGCCCGGAGCTCACATCTCCCATAAGACCCGAGTCCCACGGTTCCCCGTCTCCCACTGCTATGGGGGAGCTTTAGACCCAGAAGCGAGAAAGCCTTCTCCTGTCTCACCCGCTGGGTATTGGGCTCACAGAGCAGCTGTGCCCTCTGACCCAGAGGGAGCCTGGGAGCGAGGCCAGCATGGATCCTCCCGGACCCGCACGGAGGCGGACATTCCACCTGGGGATCTGAGCAGGGCCCTCCTTGGCAGCAAGTACAAGTCCTTCTCCTCGTTCTTCAACCTTCTGAACCCCGAGCTTCGTCCCCGCCTGGTGTCTGTGCACTGCGGGGATCGGGGGCCCCAGCTTTCTCCTGCCGGGAAGGCGCAGCCCAGGGGAGGGGACGCCCCAGGTCTCCAGTCAGAGTGTGAGGGGCTGTGCTGCCACCACGGAGAGTGGCCATTCAGTGGGGCCACTGGTGGCTGAGGCCGGTGAGGAAGAGGAGAGCATGGGACCCGCCCCTTTTGAGACCACGCCCAGGGCACAGTAGGTACTAGCACAGGGATACACTGTGGGAGTTAGGTTTTTGAAAGGCTTAATTTTATTGCTAGAGAAATTTTAGGTTTATAGAGACATTGAGAGGAAGGTACAGAGATTTCCCATATGCCCCCACCCCCCACTCACGGAGCGCCTCCCCCATTATCAGAAAGATGCTGGGAGATGTTTATGCCTCATCAGGGGATTCACGGACAGAGGGTGGGACTGCACGGGAGGTAATCGTGTTTCTTTTTGCACCATGAGAGTAAATGAGTGACGGCTGCTGAGCACAGTGGTCTGTCTACAGAGAACAAGGAGACAATCCATTGAGCACCTGCTACAGGCCCGACAGGGCCTGCGGTGCTCCACCCACCACCTTATCTGATCCTCACAATGTACCATCGAGCGGGTCACTTCCCCGGCTCGGAGAGGAAGGGACTGAGACTCTGAGAGTCCAGAGCTTTGCCCAGGTCACACGGACAGAAAACACTGGGTCCCCACCAGGTGCCCAGGTGCTTCCGTTCTATTTTGGGCGCCACAGAAGCAGCGGAACCCCTCCCTGGAGGGTATGGAGGTTCACGTATGAATTCCTCAGTGTTGGCACAATCAGTCCATCCTTCAGCCAGTGAGAGAGGGACAGTGAGAGACAGAACGACAGGTTCCCCGAGAGCTGGGGTCAGGGGGACGGGACTGTGCGAGGTCAGCTCTACAGCGGCTTCTAACTCGGGGTTTTGTGCCCCTTCAGGCTGTCACTGGCGTTGGGATCGCTTCTTCATGACAGAACAGACCACACTAGCCATAAATATGGCTCCAAGGCTCACACTTGCTCCAGTCAGGAACTTTTCTGCCTGAAAGGAAGCAGCCCAGGTTCAGAGTCCACAGCAAGTCCAGGCAGGTTCTTCCTCCCGCCAAAGGGGCTGAAGGCCACACTCATGCTCCCGCCCTCCCCGGGGGCCTGGCCTCTCAGAGATGCTGGCCTTGTCCCAACAACCCTTTCCCTGGGAAGCCGAAGGTGTGACCACTTGTTAGTGCTGGGCTTGTCCGGATGTGTCCTGACAATTGGCAGGATGGAGTGATGGGATCCTTCTGTGAGAGCCTCCAGGGTGGGGTCATTTGGTCCTGACGGGGGTGGGTAGGGGAGGGGGGCTTCCTGCCTGGGCTCCTGGGGCCAGAGCTCTGGGGGTGAAAGTGGGAATGGCTCTATGCTTCGTGCTCTCCCTGGGCTCCAGCTCTGCAGAGGGAGGTGGTGGCAGAGCTGAGGGGAGAGGGTGGAAAACCATGGCCTCAGGGATCACTGTGCTCTTTGTTCTCTTCCCAAGTTCAGCCTGGAAACTTCTATCTCCACCCCCACCCTAGCCCTTAACTCCAGACTAACAAGTCCAACTGCTACTCAACAGGTCCACCTGGATGTCTAACTGGTCACCTCAACATCCCACATGAGCATCAAATCCTTAATTTACCTCCCAAACCTGCCCCTCCTCCCTTCATCTCCTCCATCCAGGCTGCCCATCACCCAATCACAGGGGCTGTGAGCACTGGAGGTGCTGTGGTTCAGCAGAAAGAGCAGGGAGCACTGGGGATTCAATCCTGCTTCTGCCTCTTGCTCACTGTGTGGTTGGGACAATAAACTCAGAAGAGGGGCAAGGGGATGGGTTAAAGGTGTGCCCAGACCTTATATAACATGTTCTTGAGCTCTTACACAGGCCAGTGACCTTGAGCATCTCTTGGGGCCTTAGGAGACCTGTCATGGTCCCGGGTTGGCTCAGACTTTCCTGACAGCATACAGGGCATCAGGAGCTGCCTTTAGGGTGGGTCTTAGAAGCAAAGGATCGTAAAGGGACAGAGGTGGCCAAAACCCCAAAGGTCCTCCAACATCCCTCCTTCTGCACATGGGGAAACTGAGGCCAGAGAGTAAGTACCTTGTCCAAAGACCCTGAGTGGATGAAAAGCTGATGTGAGCTTTATTCTCAGATGTCCTGACTCCCAGCCAACAAGACCCTGAGAGCTCCCTTTTGAATTCTTCAGGGTCATTCTTGCCACTGCCTTGTCACCCCCACCCCAAGCAGACCTCCAGAAGGGAGAGGGAGCCCCCCAGCGAGAGCCTTACCTGCGGGCTGCGGGCCTTGCCATATCTCAGATCGGTGACCAAGCCCTCACAGTTCCTGCTCAGAACACTGTACGCCAACTCCTTACCAACCATCACCTCCGCAGAACTGATAATCTTGTTCACGGGCAGTGGTGAGTACTCCAGGTCCAAGTGGTTGTTGACCCGATATCGGCAGCCCCCCACCACGTCACTCAGGAGCTCCCTTTTCACCAACCCTCTGCTGCTCAGCATGGAGGACATGCTGGAGGAGCCCCTCACCCATCTGTGATGACCACATGGAAATAAATCATCTACCTGTGCCCAACTTGCCATGGCTCAAGCTGCCCCTCGTTGAATATTGAAAATGAGTCACCTCCACTTTGAGGGCAGTGAGACTCCTGTGTGACACTGTAAGAATGGGTACGTGTCATCATAATGTGTCCAGATTCATAGAATGCACCACACCCAGAGCGAATTTTTGGCTATACTTAGGTCTGTGGGTCGTTATGATGTGCTAATGTCATGTCATCAGTTATAACAAAAATACAGGCTCGCTCTGGACAGGGATGCTGATAATGGGGGAGGGTCTGCGTGTGTGTGGGGAGGGGCAAATGGGAAATCTCTGTACCTTCCTCTCCATTCTCTATAACCTAAAATTTCTCTAAAAATAAAATTAAGTCTTTTAAAAAAATTAACCTCCTCAGAGTATCCCTGCGCTAGTACCTAGTGTGCCCTGGGTGTGGTCTCAAAAGGGGTGGGTCCCCATGCTCTCCTCTTCCTCACCTGGCCTCTGCCACCAGTGTCCCTACTGAATGGCTACTCTCCATGGTGGCAGCACAGCCCCTGATACTCTGACTGGAGACCTGGGGCGTCCCCTGTCCTGGGCTGCACTGTTGGAGTCCAGCCCCAGCAGGTCCAGGGGTCCCCAAAGGTGTGGACGGAGTCGGCAAAGAAGGAATGACACGGAGACAGCGTTCAGTTGATTAGCAGCCTAGCCAGGATCTCTAGTCAAGTTCTGTCCAAGATCTCCAGCCAAGTTCTGTGTTTTATTGTCTTGTTACATCTGTATTTATACCAGTTGATTTTAATCCTGTCAATTTCTATTCCAAAGGTTAGGGCGTTTCTTATCTCCATTCCAGGGAGTAAAGATTATGTAGCTTAAGGGTGATTGTTCGTAGTTAAAGTGATTAACTACCCACCTGGCATTTAGTTAAGGGGTTTTATTCCCTCCCTAACTTCAGGGAAAAATCCCTACCTGGGGAAACAACCTTTCTTGGAGAGGTGACCTTGGTTAAAACACATAGCGCCAAGAAGGGGAGCAAACATACTAAGAACAGTATGCCATATACGCCAGGTCCCTTGAAACATATGCTGTGCAGATGTTTCTTCCCTGCAGCGACTGTGTCAAGCAGCAAGGATGGACCGGCTTCTGGCACTGCACCTTCCCAGGCAGGAGAAAGCTGGGGGCCCTTGATGCCCTCGGTACACAGCCACCAGGCTGGGACAAAGCTCCCCCAATAGCAGTGGGAGAAGGGGAATCCGGGGACTCGGGTCTTATGGGAGATGTGAGCTCCTGGCTCTAATTCTAGGCAATAAATCTCCCCTGGGACCAGACCCAGGCTCCCAGCAGCTCTGGAGGGACCCAAGGGTGGTGCCAGCTCCGCCCCCTCTCCTGGGTGCCCCTGGACCAGGGGTGCTAAACCACGGAGTTTGACTCACCCACAGTCCCCTCCAAGTGAAACTGCCTCTGCCTCCAGGGTCAGGTTCAAACCATGTGACTGGCCCCATCAGT